AGCTGGCGCACAAACTTAAGCCTCTGTTTTGAGGTGTGTGCCTGTAAACCACAGCATCGCCATATGAATGTCGTATTTGAAGTTAAAGTGAGTGCAAATTGCATGCTGACAAAACTGTGGGCAGTAATGATAGTGATGAGACCGAAGAGATCAAAATTTAATCGCTTTCAAAGCCTACTCCATTGTTAGCCTATTTTGTGGAGCATTGTAGAAAGTGAATGTTTGCCTATAAATGCGAAATTTGCTCTCTGATTATGGAATTTGAGGGTTTACGTTCTCACCTCCACCGTTGACGCATACTGCGAAGTTGTAATGATGCGAGCTGAGCGTGTGACAAAACAGCCAAGTTTATCGCCCAGCAGCAGCCCTTGCCATGTGATTAGAGTTGTGAAAAGTCGGTGCTGGAGTGTGGAAGAGTCCCATTCCACCTTACCCTCCTAACCGGTGACCACTCAATGTGGTGCATGGAGCTTACAAGACTGCTGAACTAATGGAAGATCTGTGTTTGCCTTCTTCTGGAAAAGGTAGCCGCTTAGCTTAGCATTAAACATTAAACACGTGCACACATCCACTTTGGATTCTGTGCATTCAGACAGCGCAATGGCGCTTGGCAGTTATTCATTTCTACTGCAAGAATACAATGACGTTCAAAGCAAAGACATAATTTAGGAGCAAAATGGTGCCTTCAAAAACACAGTGCCTATCAATAAAGTGCCGTGGACTTTCAAGATGTCAATTTCCACTCCACACACGTCCCTAGTGGCACGTGGATTCCGCCTTCTTTGACCACATTTAACATTCGATTCGGTCTTTAAAGCATCCGTAAAAGTGGATGGGCGTGCAATCTCGTCCATTCCCTTGTGCCTCTCCCATTCACCCCAAGGTTACCGAATTGCAGCTGAGGGTGTGCATTTCATCCAATTTTATGATACTTAATATTTTATGTCCATTTTAGTAGCTAAGTCAGTTTACTTCAGCAACTCTCCGCAGACCGAGGCAAGTTTTACGTCTGTTTTAGCATTGTCCATCATTCAAATTACTCCATTTTATAAAATGCCTCTCAACTAATAATTCATTGCGCTTTGGGTGAATGGATGCTTTGTTTCAGAGCCTAAGTAATTGCAGCAAGGCAATTGTAAAAGTTCCACCGTTTTGCAGTATCTTTGCACCGAGAGCTTCAATTCCATTCCACGTATGGTGACCACAATTTTCATATAATTACAGCCAACGATGAGAACGTTTTGTATAGTCGGGAAGACGTAGGTGGTTAAGCAAACGCTTGCCGTTTGCACATTTCGACTTGTCCTCGCAAATCTTTGCAGTACAACGACAGCAGTTGAAGACAAAAATGATTTAAATGTACCTTCTTCGAGGAATGAAGGTATCTTCACATTCTAGACTATTTGTGCTTTACGCAACGAATGACTTTGTAAGGCCAATTAGTCGTGCAACTTCTCTGCAAAGATTCCATCCTAAATGTCGCCCTAACATCTTACCTGAAGTCAAAATAAGTACACAAAATGTCTGCTCCTGATCAAATACCAAAAGGCTCACTTTAATTTTATATTTCATCCCTCCCTAAAATACAAATCCATTTGGGTGATTACTCACTAACCTGACAAACCCAACCACCCACTTTCCAATCCACTCATCCAACTGGCGGTGAATGAGGTGGCTCTGAAGCTAATTACCGAAGTATTGCGGGAATATCAAAGGCAGTTGTCGGGGCGATTAGGAGCTCAGGCACCTCCTGGGTCATTGTTTTAATTGACCTGTCATGATGAATTAGTTCTTATATTTCTCAGGTCCCCTACTTGGAGGAAAGGTCATAAAGGCTTACATGACTTTTTCCAAATTTGAAGTCATCAGCATCGATGCAACACTATCTGTGAGTCATCAGTGGGATGAGGTGTTCACTCCGACCATAAAAAAAGTTGCATCAATTTTCGGTTATGCAAGAGGCATGCAAATGAATGCAAACACGGTCATTTTTGAGGGTCACACAGATGACAGTCCAGTTGTCGTGTGTTAGGCATGTGTTGTGGGCATAACAAGAAGAAGGAGCGATTTGTCGCCGTCTTGCCTTGTTACTAACTTCACTTCCCTCCATCGTCACTGTTCTACTTGTCATTGCAGTTTAGTGAGTGAAACTTTGGCGGGCGAAGATAAAAGCCATTTGATATTAGCAGAGGTGGTTCACCTTCGAGTTGCAGTCTAGTCTACGTGAGTAGCACAAAGGCTACAGGTTTCAGTTAGACAAATCAGTTTAGTCAGTAATTGTTATGCTACTGCTAAAGGCGTTTTCGTTTATTCACGGTTGATCTCACCTCCTCCCTCCCATGCACCCGCCTCAAAAAATAAATTTGGCTTCAACATTTTTTTCCAAATTCTAGATTTGACTGTCTTTGAGGTGAGTTTGTTTGCACATCACTTTGATTAACATGTAGGAAACAGTTGCATTAACGGTGCTATTCCTTTAATGTAACCGGTAGCCAGGCAGGAAAGTAAGTCTTGTTCTAGACAAAACCTCAGCTAATAATAGACCCTACGCCACCTTCTTCATCGACCTTCACAATCACTAAACAAAACAGAAAGGGAAGGAGGAAGGAAGGGAGCGCACAAAGCAGAGACGTAAAATAGCAAGGGAGGTGGGAGCAGGGAGGAAGGGAAACGATGAGAGAACAAAATGGCGCGGATAAAAGTAGTGAAATAAGGATCAACATCGATTGTCAATTCACTTAGCTGCTGCAGTTCAAAGCATGTCAAACGGTGTGTGCACAAGGACAATTGTCATGCTCAGCGTTTGGTTGCGGACCGACGAGATGCCATGACAAGTGGTCAACATGATGAGAGAGGGAGTGGTCAGGTAACACGAGACGCTACCTTTGATGAAGAAAGAGGTGGGAGAGGAGAAAGGGGAAGAAGAGGATCGGACAAATGTACATGTCAACAAAGGTCGTGCTAAAAAGGAGGTAGTGGAGAGCTGCAAGTGAATGAACGTCTCGTTTGCTGTAATGAAAAATGCAAAATTTAAGCAAATGAAAATAAAGTAAAGCAAGCCATAGCTCATTGCTTTTATCTACAGACAAGTCAAATACACTTTAAATGGGAATGGGGCTGTTCATTGGCGTTTTCTACTACCCTACGACTTTTCGAGGAGCATAGAAGGAAGTACAGAATATGGAAGGGAGAAAAGGCTAAAAATCTGCCTTATAATCATTCATTTAATTCTACTACCAAAGGTGAATGGAAAATCATGTTCAATCACGCAGCTAGGCTACACTTGGTAAAATACCAGCCAACGATATGACAAACAGGAGAAGAAAGTGGGACGAGGGAGAGCAACAGTGAGAGAAGAAATTGGTTGGAGAAAGCCAACTTCTCAGGATTGCTGAGGTGGTTGGTATATTGGGACTGAGACTGTTCATCTGACGCATCCATGTAACCGCTCAAATAAATGGCATTAGCACCTATCGTTTCTCGTTCCGTGACAGTGTCATTTTTCTTTGCTTCTACTTCATCCCATCTTCTGTGCAGTCACATCCTCTACAACCTAGTAAGAAAAGAATTTCGGATAGTTGAGGAGTAAAGTAACCGATGCTGCCTCTGTTAGTGTTGGAAACTTCAGCTGCAGTTAAGGCAGCAACAGCAGCAAGGGTCCGCACGGGTCTCGCGGCAATGGCAACATCGCGGTTAGGGGGTTTCGCGTCACTTCATGTTTAGCAGGAACGAAAAGGGGAATATAAGGGGGAAGATAAGTTAGTAGTAAGAAGAACAGTGGGGAAACAAATATAAAATCTCATAATAAGGGTAATAATGTAAAACGAGGTGTTTTTTAAGGGTGAGTAATATGACGCTGTTTGAATTTTTGCAAAGAAGGAAACACAGTGATGGAAAATGGTGGGGTGTTTGAGACGAGATGCAGTCTTCTCTATAGACAACTGAAAAGCACTCACGATATCCAAATACTGCATCATTAAGAGTTGTTGAACAGGAAGTCGAGGTGCCAACGCAGTTCATTCGACCTGCTACCAGGTCAAAGCAGATTGACCACAGGCTCGTGACGCAGGAATACACTCAGCCACCCCTCACCCTTCACTCTCGAAATAAATGAGTTAAAATAATCTTCAACCAGTCACAAGTTTGCTTAAGGCAACAAATTTACAACCGACTCCACAACTACAGCCACGCCTACAAACCGGCCTATAGGTGGCGACTTCAAGGAATCAAAACCTGTCACACTACGCTAGGCTCATAACTACTCCTCATTCCTCATCCCTCACAACGGAAACAGCCGCACAGGAGAAGGAGGAAACAACCACAAATTCGGAGTCAAAATACACCACTTTTGTACAAAGTCGCAGGCACTAAGATGGTCGATGCAAACACTACGCATGCATTAATCCGACCTCGCGTACTCCATATTCAACCGCCGTCCCATCAAATGTGTGTTCACCCCAAACGTCTCCATCGCACTCTGCAAGCACAACAAGAAGACAAACAATGTGTGAACAGTGACATATCCTCGTGAGAGGATGAGGAGCGAAAAACGTTCCTTCGTGTGTAAGCCTTCCGACGCACCTTAGCCTGATCTTCGGTAGCAAATTCCACGAAAGCGAAACCACGATGACCACCGGAGGGCTTTAGAGGCATCCGCACCTTGACCAACCCACCGATGGGTTTGAAGAGAGCGGTCACCTCACTCTGGTTGGCCTGAAAGGCCACGTTTCGCACCAAAACCACTCGCCCATGCTCCTCCACCTCCATCGGCTTCCTTTGTGACGTCAAGTGAGGCCCCTCGAGTGCCAATGACGATGATGCCGACACCTCTACTTCAGCCGGATTTCGGACAATTGAAAACTCTTCTTTATCCTCACCTCCACCACCACTACCTTCAGTCCGCTTCAATTTCTTGCTACAGCTAGAGAGAAATGCAAACAAGGAGACGGAAAGGATGGGATGAGAGATGACAGTAAAAGGAGCAAACAAATTTGCCTTCAGCATTGTAAAACGCGACACTACAAAAGATTCGATTGAAGTGGTGAACTCGAATTTGGATTGTTTTCTGATGACGCACCATATTATGCCACATCGTATCCTTCATCCACTTTGACATAAGTTATCGCTTTCTTTGTTAAATGAAGGCAAAGATCGTGCCTTATTAGAAATGCTTACTGCCGTAAGCACGAGGCTTAGCACAGGTTTAACTCTGATTGAACAAGTTATCGTACAAGATATTTTGTGCTTTGCAAGGATCTTATTATACTTTTAAATTTCGACACTGTTTGTTTTGTCTCACTGATTTAAGCGATGGATTGTTGGAATTGGAGCTCCCGCGTGTGGGTGGTGTGAGTATCGATAAAGTTGACTTCATTTAATTCTTTCTTTTACCAAGTGAACCTTGAGGTTTGCTACGTATTTGGTATACATGGAACATTTCTGGTCGAGTTGTCATTTCTATTTCTCTCTTGCTTCTTTTTATCTTTGCTGAATAAAGTGTATAGCCTTCATAATGTGGTTCTGTCCGATGTTTTGTTTTCATATGCAGCGTACGATTTTGCTTGTGTTTATTTGTGGACTATCAATGGTTAGGTGTTGCTGTTGTTTTGGCAGTGTAGAACGATTTGTATGGGAAAGTTAAGTTGGTTTTGGCATCCGATGCCTATCTTCCGCGTGTTATCTACTAGCAACTAAATGGACAGCTGCTCGCGCGCATTTGTTGTTCCTTGTACATCCTCCTGTTGGAATGAGAAACGCTGAGGAAGTATCCATGGTCGCTGTATATGTCGAATCACCAAGCAGTGCCTTTCTTAGTGGACACAATTGTCGAAGTAATGGAGGTTGGAAATTTAGCTGTATGACTGGTGGCTGTGAGAGCTGTGGGTTTTGATTTGTGAGACCTAATTCATCCAGAAGGAGATTGGAATTACGATGTGCGGCTGGTACTCAGATTGGCAGATATCTGCCAATTCAGGCGCTTTTGATAGAATTGTGTGTGGGGAACTACTGTTTGTTTATTTTTTATCTGTGCAAAGCTGCGATTTGTCATTCTACTTTTGTCACGGTTTGTATGCGGTGTGCACTTTGGTGATGTCTGTTCTTGCAAATGTCTGTTTACCTAAGGCAATGCGATGTAGTCGCATCGTGTACCTTGTAATCATTTACTGTTTTTTTATCAGCTGAGTTTCCTTATAATTGCGTGTACTTAGGCACTCGAGTCTCTCATCCACTTTTTTGATGAGGTGACGATTGGGATAAATTGGATGACTGTATTTACGGCTGGCACTTATGTGATTGTGGAAGGGTATTGGCTTCACCAAATATGAGGCGTCTGTGCATTATTTTTGTACCAGTCGTTGACCATTTTATTTGTTTACACATATTTAACCGTTTTTTGCTGCGCTATTCCCAACTGGAATGGAGGCCTACGAATGGTTGCAGTTGTTGTCTAGCAACATTCAGCCTCTATTGTGCCATGTCCCTAGCACAGTAATTTGATATCTTGCGAAATAGGTTGTGCGATGAATGCTTGGGAATGTCTGCAGCCGCTGCAAAGACAACTTGTCTACTCCACTATGGTTTGCCTAATCCTATTCGATTCGCTACTGAACAAGGCTTCACGTGAGCAGGTGGAAATGCTTAGGTGGTGCAATTCGACTGAATTTGAAGGTTTTGCAAGAACTTTACTCCACTTTTTCTCTGTTTTCTTGTTAAGGACGTTGCTGATATCGAATTCGACGGAGGCGATGGAGGCTGTTTTATGGGGTATGTTGAGTTGGAGGCATTAGCGAAGATCGTTGAATTCGAATCCCGCCTTTGTCATCGTCGCAGGCGGATCTGCCAACTGGTCTACTTTTCATGCGTCTCTGTACGATGCGCAGTGTTCGGCATCGCTCACTGTGGAAGAGGCGTGTATTGACCGAGTCTCGGCGATGTCCTTCGTCAAGTTGCGTTGAGTTCGTTCAGGGTCCTTGCTAGTCCTGACCGGGGTGCAGTTTGTGCTGCGCTCCTACTGCTTGGTGAAATGAGAAGGCACTGCATTGTGGGGATTGCGCTGAGACCAGGCGAGTGGATTGTGTGGCACATTGCGTTTT